CGACCGATTTCGCGAGATTAGCAGCCTCGAGCATACGGACCATGATCTGCCCAGCCTCCACCGAGTGCTTTCCCTTAAAAGCGCCACTGTGGTGCGTCATGACACCATGCTCGAGGTAAGGCTCACTCATTGGTAGAGTCGTAGTGCTTTCGTCTTCTGATGCTGCAAGAACAATACGCACTGGTTGGTCCTCTTGGTGTGTTTTCCAGAATGAATGATCTCGCTGGTCGTGGCCAGGAACACCCATAACGGCGCCTTCACCATAATCTCCGAGTACATATGGGGCAACATAGATGGGCAGAGAAGCCTTGGTGGCGTCAGGGGTCTCGTCGTGATAAGCAAGAGGGTTGATGGCTCGCAGATGCGGCAAGAGGTAGCCAACTTTCGAGTCAGGGGGTAGCCCGGGTAGAGTGTCCAAGAAGGCTTGTAGCTCGGCGTCCTTCTTTGCCAACTCGGCGACAACCGGATGAGAGGCTGCAAGAGCAACGTACTGAACACCAAAAAGTGTGTCTGGTCGAGTTGTGAAGACCTCTATGGCGCTGCCAACGTTGACACCCCCCATGGCCATGATTGGGAACTTGACCAAGGCGCCAGTCGACTTTCCTAACCAATTCTTCTGCTGCGAGATGACGCGCTCAGGCCAAGCATTGTTCATGGCGAGTTCATCTAGATCTCGCAATAGAGCCTCGCGATACTCGGAAGTGCGGAAGAACCATTGCTTTAGCTTGCGTTTTTCTACCTTGGCTCCTGACCTCCAAGAGCATCCATTTGCGTCGACTTGCTCATTCGCCAGCACAGTCTTGTCCACGGGATCGTAGTTGACTTCGGCCTCCGCCTGGTACGCGAGTCCCCGTTCGCGCAGCATTAGGAAAAGTTTCTGGGTGTGTTTGTAAAATTCGGGGTCGCAAGCCGTCAATTCCTACGTAGCATGGTTAGCGCTGGGGAATTTCCGGCATCAGATAGTCGTTGATGCTTACGCGACTCCAGTCCCAGCTACCGTTCATGGAGCCAAGCTGCTCCTTCATCTTCTTGATATTGCTCCGCGTCCACACCCCAGGATCTATTCCACGTTCGAGTGCCGCATTTTCAGCAGGCAGGCCAAAGGCGTCCCAGCCCATCGGCAGGAGAACATCATCTCCTTTTAGTCTGTGATACCTGGCGACGGTGTCGGCAATGCTGTACACTCGCAGGTGGCCCAGATGCAGGCTACCCGAAGGGTAGGGGAACATTGGCAAGACATAGTTGGTCTTGCGGTCGCTGGCCTTTGGGCTGTTTGGTTGTTCGAGGCCGGCTTCATTAGCTTCGCTCCATATTTTCCTCCATTTACCGTCTAACGAGTTGAGGTTGACGGCGTACCACCTCTGAAGCGAGGCTGCTGGTGCGACTGGCAACTGTGTTAAACTTGGTCTGGATATACGGGTTGGCCGTCGCGAGGCTACCCTGAGAGCCGGGCAGGCTCCCTTGCAGCCTATCTGCTTTGCGTAGACTAGCTGCATGAGGATGACTGCATCACGAAGGTTGTGGCGACGAAGGAGACAGGCGTGGCGAGCAAGGCAAGCTACTGGAGCTCCCGATAATCGTCGAAAGTTTGAACGCGTGACAGCTTCCGCCAATGCGATGTCCGGAGTGGCAGGAGTGGTAGGACCCTGCAGGGGGCCCCTGCCGTTTTGAGGCGTGGTGCGTCATTCGGCTGTGGGAAGCGACTGCCGCACCCCGTACAGAATAGCCTCGAGAACTGTGGCACCCGGCATGGCACCTTTTGTGCTGGCATAAACATGGAACACGGCTCTGGAACTCAAAGGACCGATCCGCGCCTTCAAGCCTTGTCTGAGGATGGCACAATGTGCACTAAGAGCTGCGGTAATCAGGACCAGGCGTCATCTAATTACATGCTTCTGCCGTCATACACGCCGTCATCATTGATGCGAGATGATAACATCGACGCAAGTGAGTGAGGGGGCTTGTCCTGCCCAGCACTGAGGCACCACGGGCGATGCCACGTGCCCGCTCGCATCTTCCGTTATTTATCAATTGATATGTTAATAAATACCAATGCACTCCCTTCTCGGTCGCTCCTGCTTTCCTGCTCCGAAACCAGACTGGCGCTAGTTAGTAGGCAGTTTTCGTGTCCTTGCACAAACCGGCTGTCCCCACTGCCGTTGTCACTTCGTCAATCAACGCCTCTGGGACGTGGGAAAAATCTCCTCCATTCTCGTTCGTCGGAACCAGTGGGGTTTCGCCAGCCTCGACGACCTTGAGCACATTCAACTGGTCCATTGCCACCAGACCCTCTGTGCCTTTCGACGATGGGCATTTGTGGCTCAATTTCGGCTTTGGGCTGAGCTGTGGGAGTCTTGGACTTTGAACTCCTCATCTTCAGCTTGATTTTTGCGCCGTTGGCCATCAGCTTCAGATACTCCCACCTGTCGCTTGCGTGCCATCATTACTCCTTCAGCTCACTCCGCAAAACGGCGCCTCGGCTCCTGCTCCATCGTCGTGTGGCCAATCTTTGCCCCCTCCGTTTGGCTGCGACACACTCAGACACAGCAAGATTCGGCGCGTCGCCGCCGAGCTATCTCCGTCACGGCATCTTGCATTGTGGCTGCCCCGGCTCAAAGTCGACTGAGCGAATCCGACTGCGGAGTATAAGTAAACTGTCTTCGAGATCGCCATCAGTCATTCATTGCCTCCTACACTGTCGCCATGGACAAAATCACAGACAAAATCGCCGCTCTGCCGGCCGATAGAGAGTACTTTTCTCTCGAATTCTTCCCCCCCAAGACTGCCATGGGCTTCTCCAACCTGCGCCATCGACTACAGCGCATGGAACAGGCTCTAAAACCTCTTTTTGTCAATGTTACTTGGGGAGCTGGAGGATCGACAGCGACCAAGTCCCTTGAGCTCGCCGAGCTCTGCCAGCGGGAGCTTGGCTTAACAACATGTCTTCACCTGACTTGCACCAACATGAGCAAGCGTCTTGTCGACAAGGCCCTTGAAGACGCCAAAGCCCTCGGTATCCGTAATATCCTCGCTCTGCGAGGAGACCCTCCGCGAAAGGAGGAATACTGTGATGCAGAAGATTCGGAGGACGATGGACAGCAAGATTTCACATGGGCCATTGACCTTGTGAAATATATTCGCAGGAAGCATGGGGATTACTTTTGTATTGGAGTGGCAGCATACCCCGAAGGCCACTCAGACGAGAGTCACCCTCAGGATCAAAGTTTGGAACATGATTTGCCGTACCTGGTGGATAAGGTACAAGCCGGTGCCGACTTTATCATGACCCAGCTCTTCTTCGACATCAGTGCCTATGACCATTTCGAAAAGACCCTTCGAGAACACCCTAGTGGCGCTTTCAAGACGATCCCCATCCTTCCTGGCTTGATGCCAATTCAGAGCTACCAGATGATCAAGAGGACAACCAAGCTCAGCCACGCCAAGATGCCGCCCGCCATCATGGATCGTCTCGATGCTGTCAGGGGCGATGACGAAAAAGTCAAGCTAGTCGGTGTGGATATTGTCAGTGAGCTCATTGACCAAATTAGAAAAATCAAGAACCGAACACCAGGCCGTAGAGGCTTTCACTTTTACACCTTGAACTTGGAAAAGGCGGTTTCCTTTATTGTCGAGAGAACAGGCCTTATTCCCCGCGAATCAGATAATGAGGAGGCGCTCATTGACGACGGTACTCTGGCGCCTCCGGCAATCCAGGTCAACGGCACCCGAGCTTCAACTCACTCCAGGACATCCAGGAGACACTCGTCTGTTGGTTCTGATCCCTATAACCGAGTCATTGTTGCTGGCCAACCACCATCACACCCTGAATGGGAGGCAACCGGACAAGAAGCGGGCGTGCCGGCTGAAAGCATCAACTCGCGCGCAAACACGCTCGCCATTTCCGAGGGCGAAGGTGTCTTGGGCAGGGAAGCCACGTGGGACGACTTCCCCAACGGTCGGTTTGGCGACTCGAGATCGCCGGCGTATGGTGAAATCGACGGCTACGGCGTAAGCTTGCACATGTCAGTCAATCAGGCCGTGACGCTCTGGGGATCCCCCACGAGCCGCCAGGACGTCAACAATGTCTTTGTCAGGCACATCAAGGGCGAGATATCGGCCATACCATGGAGCGAAGAGGGACTGTCCCCCGAATCGTCAACCATCCAGTCTCGCCTTGTAGAAATGAACGGCAAGGGCTGGCTGACGGTTGCGTCACAGCCCGCCGTCAACGGCATCTCATCAAGCGACAGGACATTCGGCTGGGGCCCAGTCAACGGCTTCGTGTTCCAGAAAGCCTTTGCCGAATTCTTCTTACCGTCGGCAGACTGGCACATGCTAGCCGAAAAGTTGAAGGGATCCGACTACTTCGACAGCGTCTGCTTCTACGCGGCCAACGCCAAGGGCGACTTTGTCTCGTCGGACATCAGCGGCGGGCGGTCCACGCGAACCGTCGCAGCGAGCACCAACGCCGTGACATGGGGCGTGTTCCCCGGAAAGGAGATTGTCACGCCAACTATTATCGAGGAGGTCAGTTTCAAGGCATGGAGCGAGGAGGCCTTTGGTCTGTGGGGAGAATGGGCCAAAGTATACGGACGGGGGTCGGAGAGCGAAAAAGTACTGAGCGGCATTCGATCTGATTACTGGCTGGTGAATATCATCCACCACGACTTTATAGATAGGGAAGCATTGTGGAAGTTGCTACTCGAGTGATGGCGAAGTAGTGAATATATCAAAGTAGTCGAGTGTACATTATGGGTATCGAGTGTATTGTAGCTCAGCAAAGTGTAGTCTAATTCGCAGTCCGTTGGCCACGCATCAAAAATGCTCGCCCATCCACGCCAGAAACAAAAAAGGCCCCGTCTCACCAGTCCATCCTGCGCGCGTCCAAGTGTCAAAAGGGGCTGGCTCTGCGCCCGTCTCTCCCTCCCTCTGTCCCGCTCCCTCGCGCGTCGCGTTCCCATTCACATGCACTCGCTGAATATCCCCTCCAACGATGCATTTCAAATCTCCCCGTCGCCATACGCCTCGATGGCTTCCTCAAAACTGCCCAAGTAGAGATTGGCCCCAAAGGCCGTGGAGAAGACGGGATCGGTGGCGCGCTCGGTAAAGGCGCCGGCGACGGAGGCAGTCGACGGGGAGGGGGCGGCGGCGGCAGCCCTGGCGGCGGCGGGGTCGCCAAAGATGCTCTGGTACTGCGACTCGGGCTTGACAAGGACCACGTCCGAGTCCGAGTCGGGCGCGGCGCCGGCGGCGATGGTAGCGCCCGCGCGGACCGCGGCCTTGCGCGCGCCCGTCTTCCGGGCCGGCGTGGGCTTCGGGGCCCGCTTCGACGGCGTCTCGTCCCTGTCGCTCCAGTCGTCCTCCTCGTCGCCCGAGGCCTCGGACAGCGAGGGCTTGGGCTCGGCGCGCGGGCGCTTGCGGCTGCCTGGCGTGCGGGCGGCGGCGGTGGCCCTGGTGGGCGTCGAGGTGCCCGACGGCAGGGAGAGGCAGTTGGCGACGTCGCCGCCCGACGAGTGCGTCTGGCGCAGCTGGTCGGCGTCCTTTTTAATGCCGCGGAACTGGAACTGGATCCCGTCCGCTGTCGACTGGCCAAAGTACTTGGCTATATCTGTCGCAGTGGGTTAGCTCCTGTCTGGACTTGGGGGGGGCGGACGAGCGCGAGGAAAGGGAAGGGAAACGGGGAGGGTGGGAGTGTGGAAGGGACGTACTCGTCTTGTCGACTGCGTCCTGGGCCGTGGGCATGTTGTCTTCGACGGAGAGGTGCTTCATGTCGAAGCCCTGGGGGCGTCCTTCGCGGATAATCAAGGCCTGGGCTCTGAGCCGGCGGAAGCGGTGGTTGAGCGCGTGCTCGGTCATGTCTGAGCCGTAGCAGGCGGCGATTTCTGGGACGGTCAACTCCCCGTCCCATGGCATAGAAGAAAAGGGGGAGGAGGGAGGCGGGTGTAGAGGGCGGGAAGTGGTGATGGAAACGGGACGGCAAAAGGGAAAACGAGGAGCAAGCCAACTTACCTTTGTAGTTCCATTTGACGTCCGGGTGGGCGGCGACAATGGCCCTGACCATACGGGCTTGCGCCTCGTAGGTCTTGTAGTTTGCTTTGGAGTTTGTCGGTGCCATGGCGTTTGAGGGTAAAGGGCGATTTCACCGCGGAGTGAGCTGGGCAGACGTAAAAGGCAAGCGAGTGGTATAAGTGAAGCTCGCTTGGTGATAATGACTGGGCTGCCTGCGCATCCGTCATGCGCACAAGGGGAGTTTTGGAGGCGAAGGAGGAAGAGAATTTTGTAGATGGATGTATGTGAGCATGCAGTTGGAGGTGCAGACGCATGTATATGAGAAAGAAAGAAAAAATCCCGTGCCAGCTGGCGCCGGTTGGGTAAAAGTGACGAGGAAGTGAGCTCGACTACACGTTGGTGTTTGGCTGCTATCTGTCCAGGTGAAAGATGACTATATTGCATTGTTAGGCTCATTTACTAAACTTGTTTATGGTCAAGCATACCTTTTTGAAAGATTGAGCCACAGACAACCAGAGATGGTCTATCGCGCTGTGAGGCAAACGCTGTCCTGTCCAAGTTGAAGGTGAAGATGGATGGTTGAGGACTCGGCGGCTACTAGGCAGGAACCAACACAACCAAGTCGCCTTGCCGCAAATTGATCTGGCCAATGTTCTCAATCAAGAATGTGTTTTTTTAGCAAACGATGCACAAACAACAACCGCCAAGTACATCTACCCAAGCACCCAGCTTGACTGCACCAGTCGACGTTGGCTGCCTGCAATCTGCAATGCAAAGGAAAAAGTAAGGTGGCTGGGTACTCGCATCCCCCAATCTAGGAGTCGCCTGGTGCATGGTCGATAACCACTACATTGAGCTCAAATGCAACTCGCACGCACACTCACCACAGGGCTCTATAAATGACTGTGTGCACAACATCATCAAGGTAATTGCCTCTTGGGCTTTTATTACAATATTATTTACGTGCCTTGAGACGCACCGGCGGCAGAATACCCAGTGGCCTTTGCGGACGTGGCTGTACCGCTCTATCACTACTTAACGCCTTGCGCGCCAGGGGGGAGACGCCCAACTTCATCTCTACCCCCGGTCCAACAAGTATCAGACCCGACCAAACCACAATGCTTCATCGTCATGTATGCCCTGCTCTCCACTGTTCGTATGAAAAGTACCAAATGCCTCTTATATATGCACCTGCACCTGCACCCGCACCGCTGCCCCTCGGCATAAATACCTGTTGCAATCGCATCGGTAGTCGTTACCGTGACTGCTCGTGTGTTATCAACAATGCTTTCATTCGCGTAATAAAATGCTCTCTTGCCGAAGCAATCGTTTCCAATATAATCAAAACATGGTTCTTGGTCTGCAGCCTCGCCTTTCCGTACCGCAGCCCGCCCAGAACCGTCTCCAAGACAGTCATCTATTCCGCCTCGGTATCGCTGAACGTGGCCCCTCGCTTCCCGGCTGACATGCTCCGCGTGTGGGAATGTGAGGCCCGGTGGCCGCGCGCCCAGTGAGCCTCCTCCATGGCGTGCTCCTTCAAAACGGCCTCGTCACCACCGGCGCCATAAATGAAATACTGGATGCCTAATAAACAATCGCAGGCGGCCTGGAAGCAGCCGCAGACCTTGAAGGCCAGGGGGATCTCGCTCGTAGACGTAAAGAACCAAAAGACCTTCATGGCGTCGCCGCCGATCCAGGCGGCCAGGACGGACAGTCGGAAGCCCTTGCATGATTGCGATTGGGCGTTGGCTATCAGCTGCGGGATGGGCAGGGTCGCCTCAATGGAGAGGCCGAGGTATCCGATGAGCACCGAGTACGCGTCGTAGATGGGCTCCATGGGTCGGAAGAGGACTTCGCAGACGATGAGACCGCCGAGGAGGTAGAGGAGGAAGTGCCAGTATCTGCCACGGTCAAAAAAAAAAATCAGCAATTTTATCCTTGGGCCGTTTACGAGCAGCTTAAATTCCACGAGGGAAGCAAAGGGGGTGCCGGGAGCAACATACGGCTTGTGCGACCGCCACTGCCAAAAGTTGTAGGGCCGTTGAATGTCAAATGGACTGCCTCGTTCGAGACCAGAAAACGGCATGCTGCCCTCGCCGCCCTTGGTCGCAGGCAGCGGCCTGTGTTCCAGCGCAATCTTGAGCAAAATGAGCTGCACCACCACCATGATGAATGACTGCACCAACAGACTAGCGTCGAATCGCGAGCCCGGCCAGTAAAAGATTCTGTACGGAGAAAGAAAAAAAGAAATAGCCTCGTTAGTATCAAGTCTTCGTGTATGGATTGCCAACGCTTTCCCGGGCTGTTTGGGCGCATCCGCGCATCGTAGATGGGCAAACATACCTGAAGAAGGAAGCCACCAGCATAATCAACGGGATATCCAGGGAAAAGCCGGCACTCGATTTATTCCGATGCATGGCAAGAATCTGGTCGCCGTACGAGATGATGGGCGACATGATGATGAAAAAGGGGGCAATGAAGCCCGTCAAGTTGGTAAGCCAGGTCATGATGCCGGTCCGTGTCTGTCTCTGACGACAAAGGAGAGGAGGAGTTGCGCGAGCGAGCGGCGAGTCGGAATGCGGCAGCAAGCGACGGCAAGAAGCATGAAAAAGAAAACTGGAAAAAAAATCGCTAAACGGCTATGATGAGGTCATTCGCAGATACGCAGAGAAAAGGCAATGTTTGACTGCAGAACGAGCGCTGGGTGAAGAAACGGGACGTCCTTTTCCTGCCACGGGATCTGGGGGACTGTCAAGTCGTCGACATGGGGTTTTTTTTTCAGCGGGATGACTTTCTACAGCTGCTGGAATTCGATGCCCTTTGGCTCCATACGGACTAATTAGTGCCGTCTGTGGCCCTCCTCTGACAAGCGGCGACAGTTAATGTTTGGAGGCACCTGGGAAGCCCATTGGCCAGGAAGTCCGTGCACTGTACTCCTGTTGACAGCCGGCTACAGCGGGGAGCGGCAGTGGGCACATGCAGCAACACCAGACCATACTTCAGCCGGCAGTGGGCGCGCCGCTATTTTCGTACTGGCGCAGCGCCCAGTGCCGTATTAAACCACTGTGCCGCTAGAGGTACTCGACGACTCACGTCCGGTACCTGCATCTGGGCGCACAGCCCTACGAATCGCCAAGTACAGGGTACCGCGTGCCCCATTCACCAGCGAATCGCTCGGCGGGCTCATCGACTCTTTTTGCTGGGTTTGCTAGGTGCGCTCACGCCTCACCAGGTATGTGACCATGAGACTTTATACTTGTATATATAATATTCATGTTATAATATATGTGTGTATATATTATAATAGGTAAATATGTTTTACCATAAATTAATGCACATGGTACCGAAGGCCAAAAGGCGCAGTCCCGGCACCTGCATACTTGGATTCCTCGTACTCTGGTTCGCTCCATCGCGCTGTCATTGTCCCGAGTTGAATTGCCCGAAACAACGCACACGTGGGCTCCTGCTTACATGGGCCCAAAAAAAGGGTCTCGCCCCCTATTATTCGAATTATCGCATCCATTCATTCCCACGGCCCCATTATCCTCAGCCCCTGCTCTCGAAAGCCGTCTTATCACTACCTAGGCAGTATTGCTGCCTGGGTAATTTTAATATCGATACATGAATTCCATGGAGGGGCATTCCGCTATGCAAGTCATGCCCTCTAGCTGCGCCTTCGTGCCCTCGCCTTGGCCCGCTGCGTATCAAGTCCTCCCTTGGTCATGCGAGCTCGAGTTCACGCCGTCCCGTCAATGCCCTCTGCTCTCGTAAAGCGGCAGGTTCCCGACAGTGCCAGGCGACGCCAGACGCCTCCCCCTGTCCTTGATTATATGGCCACATGTAATTCTATTAATTACTAGGTAGCCAGGGTCTGGCAAGGCGACGGGCGTGTCTGTTGATGCATCACAATGTACTCCAATGAAACAACTTGACCGCCCCTTTGCACCGGCGGAGAAGGTTAATATAATGATGAAAAAAATAATCAAGATGACGAAATATGTGGTGGATCCTCGCAATAACTTTTGTAAAAAAAAAAAAAAAAATTAAACATCAAAAAAGATCGACAACAGCCAGATTCGAACTGACGCGGGCGAACCCAAAAGATCAACTTTCTTATATGCTAAGATTCGAGTCTTTCGCCTTAACCACTCGGCCATGTTGCCGTATCCCGCTACATTCCGTTACGTAAGCTTAAATATTGTTATAGACTTATTCCTCCAGTCCCGCCATCAAGTGCACCTCCTGAAACTCGAAACCTCAAAACGGGTGCAAAACACAACGTCGACGCAGAGAAATGTATGAAACAATTAGTCGAACGGCTTCGGGGTCCCGAGACTCAATCGTCCCGGCAGCATCCCGGCACAGTTCAACGAGTGTGCTGCGTAGGACAACGCGAATAGATCCCTTGTGATCTTTAACTTGCACTCCTGTCAACGCAATCCCGATTCCTCTTTTTCTGTGCAATTACAACTCTTGGACTTGTACTCCCACAGGATCCACCCTGAGACCCTACACGAGGCATTACTGCTCACTTCTCACCATTGAAATCGCCTATATCCGCCCAAGTGCTCCGTAGTGTAGGTCAAGACACATATATCCCTTCCTATACCACTCAACATAACCAATCTCAGCTCCCCTACTTCAGAAATCCTACAACTAGGTATGTACCACACGTCAAAAGTCGACAAGACAACCCTGTCATCTGCGACTTGAAGAGATATTTCCTTGCAAGCCTCCTGTTCCAACAACCACCATGGAACAAGAAGGGGCCGTATATCATAACAAGCATACTCTTTTTCGCATTCAAGACGGAAATTAATACAGCAAATATCATATTGAGCCAAGTTGAATCCCCTCAGGCAGCCCTTTCCCCCGCATGACGAAGACCATCAGGAAATATCCCCAAGAGGCTGCAGATTCAACAAACCAAGGCCAAGAATCCCAGCCCCCGTTCACAACGCACGCTCCTCACAACCAAAACACCACCCAGCGCAGCAAACTGCCACCCGTGTTTCAGTAGTACGCGCCGAGCCGGGCGATCAAGAAGCTTCACAATAACAAGGCAGCATCAAGTCGCGTGAAGAAGAAGCGGCAGCCGCCAAATCTCCAAGCCCGTACCCATCATGAATATCTTCCGCCAAGTTCATAACCTACAGTATTTCCGACGAGCAGCAGAAATGCAAAGACCACTTTCAACAAGTCCATGGACAATGCCGAAGACCTCTACGCATTGCTAGCATATACACCATTGGAAGCATGTACAATCTCTCAGATAGTCTACGCGTCACAAAATCGTCTGGTTCCTCTTCTTCTTCTTCGCTACAGCCCATAGGCCGAGATACATTATCAAACAGCACACTTCAGTACCCTTCCGTACTTTGGCGACGCCAAGAGTTCCAACCAAACGACAGATGCGCAGAAATACATTGTCAAGCGTATAATCTAGGTCGACAAGCCACCAAGAGTAAAATTCCAGCACGCCCTTGAACTACGTGGTCGCCCTGTCCAACGTCTAGTGTACTCCGTATTACGGCTCAACACGACGACAAACCGCACACATCTACCCTGTATTTTATACCCTCGTCATCGTCCAATTTACACGGAAAAAAAGTCTAGATTTGAAGCCGAGTACACGTCCGTCCCGTGCAGATGAGGCAGCAGAAACACACGAGTGACGAGTGAAGATTGACGCTTGACGCTTGAATTCCGTCATTCACGGCATTCACGTCCGTCAAGTAAAAGGGCAAGTACGAGCCATCTCCTTTGTAACCGTCACATGACATCACTCAACTTGAACACCTATGAAGACAGAACTTCACTAGTCGACTACCTACCCTATACCTATACATATCTCTCGCACCCGTCGCGCACACCACCATTATTCCTCGCGTATAACATGAATAGAAAGTGCATGTATTCTTCCGCTCTACAAGACAAAAGACTCGATACAGCCCCCTTACAGAATCGTGGCACAAAGCCAAGGGAACATATATAACGTACAAGCCCACGTATCCAGCCACCGTGTATACTCGGACATGACTCCAGCACAAATAACATCGACAGATAGCACGGCACGTCCACAGCAGTTACTGGTAATTCTAGCGCATCGCAGCAGGCGAGACAGGCAGCCCGTGCACGCACCACGTACAGTACACTGTATGTATGTATGTATGTACATCTTCAGCTCCATGTCGACAATCGATCTCCGGTCGCGACGGGTCCTCAGCCCAAGACATCTGCAAAGCCTTCCAGAACCAAACGAACCGCGTTCCCCGGAGGATTACGTACTACGCACACCCGAATGCTACGGACCGTTCCATCAAGGACCGTGCGCCACGGAGTTACTCCGTAGGGAGGTTGCTCCTTTCAAGGAAGAAAAAAAAAAAAAAGGGAAACGAAAAAAAGTAAAAGCAGATGGTTGCAACGAGACAAAGAGCCCAACATGGCCGGAGCAGGGCGTGCAGACGCAATTGCAAAAGGACCAGACGGGCTCGCCACAATTGATACGGCGTTGTAACTTGTTGGCTGTTGGCCGTTGGTTGTAGTAGTTGGCTGTTCTGTTCTGTTGTTTTGTTTTGGACCTCGGACAGTGCCAAGTTCCGAGCCAGCTTCTCTCCTTCACTTTCTCGTCCTCGGCGATGCGGCTCCTCGTAAAGCGGCCCTCATGCTTTCTTGGACTCTTGTTCTTCCACCAACCAGCACGTACATGATAGACACTAGATGCAACCTAATTTACCACGAGTCCACGACTGCCGGTCCGTGATGCCCTCTTTCCCATATCGTGTAGTCTTGGCCGCTTGACAAATGGTAATCACAAGCCCTTTCTCCGAACGGCAGCGGCATTGACCTGCCCGTCATCAACCAACAAAAGTTGGGCCGACGCGTCGCACTCGTCGCATTCGTCGCGAGCACGCCCCCCCTCCCCCTCCCCGTGGCGTGCGTCCAACTCGCCGCCGGCCTGTTGTTTCGGGGGGGGAGCGCCAAATGGGAACGAAAGGAGCAGTAACCACTGGTTTCGACTCTTCGGGGGCGCATGTAACATTGAGTCTGGTTGGATCGACCTGCAACATGCACCGGCTCCAGCACCAGCATCGGCACCGGCATCAGCACCGGCACCAGCACGCCCTCCGTAACTCCGCCATGCCAAGTGTGTCATGCTCGGTACGA